ACTGACATACAAGGCTCATTTATGTCATCTCAAAAAAGATATCAGTAAGAATATAAGAAATCAGTACATCTCCATGAATACTAAATTTTACCTAAATTTGCTTTCAGATCAGAACGATTTGGCACAAAGTTTTCTCCCTTACCCTGACATTTTCTGCCAGTCTCCTAGCCATTTCTGAGGAGTTCTGATAGCGAATCATTGGACATTTTTTGAGTGACAGTAACACTGATGTTAATCCCTCTACTGTCCTGGACAAAGATCCAGGAGACCAATTCAGAGCCTGTAAATGGAGAAATAAAAATTTTAAAGTAAAGATTGCATTTTTCTTGATTAGAGAAAGATTTATTTATTCTTCTCATTCCATGAGCTATAGTTGATCTGTTTGCAGCCTACAGTCACCAATATAATGATTAAATAAATATTCAGCAACACTTTACCCTGTGTGATAAATTTTTCATTCATAAAAATACTACCAAGGCTGTACAAATATTCAGTTACACTGACAACTTATGATATATAGTGAAATGTAGGAACTCAAACTATTAGACTAAGATAATTCTAAAACTTACTTGACAACATCCTGGGATATTTAATGTAAACAGGTGGGGATTCACTGCTATGTAGTCACCAAAGAATTCCTGAAATGAAACAGCATTCTTCAAGTCCCAAATAGTATCCCCTTTGTCAACTTAGTATATGACGGTTCATGTTACATTTGTACTCTATTTCTTTTTAAGAAGATTTTTTGATAATATATTCACCTGGACTTCTCGCACCACTTCTTGGTCATCTGCTTCTGCTAAAACTTTGACATCTTGTTTGCTGATCACATTGCTAAAATCTTAAATATAACAAAAATCCTCATCTCCATACAATAAAACTTGATCATGCAAACTTAATATGGAAAGATAACTGCGATGCTTATAAATTATGTATTACACTTACAGATGTAATACAGTCCATATTTTGGCATTCTAAGTTCTTGCGCCAGAAATTCTACATTTTCTTTTGTAGGCCGGAGAAATGTTATGCACTTCAGATGTTTCATTGTCTCTCGACCTGAAGAGTCTATCCTCTCAAACAAATAGACTTCCTTCTGCAAAATTTCTGACTGTGCATACACCATGCTCACAATACTTGTCTGCAAAAATGAAAAAAATGAAAAAATGTAAAAATAAAGCCTACAAATTATGTACATGAATATGTCACTGAATAAACTACAAAACTTGTATTCAAAAATATATATTTGAGAAAAGTAAACCTGCTGATTTTTTTTTACTATAACCCCCTTTATTTACAATAACTTCGTCTGAAACAAACATTGTTGATATTCAGATTTAGACGTCTAACGTTACATGTACAGCTGCTCTACACCCAAAAGTTATAATATCTATTTATAAACTAAGCAAACGAACACAATAAAAATGTACACAGATTTACCGTTTCTTTGTCCATCAGAAGAACCTTCATACCAGGTCCACTCTCTTCTATCATCTTACTTATGTACTGTTTTATTGCCAAAGTAACATTCATTTTGACAGAAGTACAGAAAATCGACCGAATTTTCTTACAGGAAGCGCTACATAGAGACTAATTGAGAAACCAACCTCGACGAGGCTGTTCCGAAATGAAAAGAAGCTGCGTTTTGGAAAAATAATTGGAAGTCACATATCTTCCAAGAAGTGTTTGATTCGGTTTTATGCAGCTGATCTAGCGGAAAACGTGAAAATAATTTTTCAAAGTGTGTGTGTAGGGGGGTGGGGGGTTATTTTCAATTTCTTTTAAAGTTTAACATAGGTTGATCACACTATGGTGGGGTCTATTTTTATGCTATGTGCAATGTACCGTACTTGAAGATTTGTGGATACATAGATTTTGCTCAGTTCTTTGGGTACCAACATCTATATACTCCGTAGTGTTTGACCTTGACCTCGGAGTTCGGCCTTAATACTAAACTTTAACCTTGACCCTTTTGAAAACAATTGGTCCTATGGCTTTCATATTTCCCCTGTGTATATTAAATGTGCGAGATCTTTTAAAATAAATATGCTTATTTATAGTACACGTGTATATATGGAACCAGCTGCCAGAAGACATCACCACGGCCATTTCCCTTGAGTCCTTTAAGACCAGGAGTCAAGGATCTAAAGCACCGTAAATGAAGCAGAACATGTTTTTATCAGTTTTTAAAATTGTGAATAGATGCGTGGAGTCCCCCTCACGTACACGTTTTTAATTAAAGTGAGAAAATGCCGCAACAGCGGCCCTTCACTTTATAGGAAGAAGAAGATATATATTTTTGACGTACATACCTTGACCTTAGAGTTTGATACATTAAAAAAAACTTAAACCTAAGCCATAACATTTAATCAGTTAGTTCTAGGTCTTTTATATTTCACATTCGAATTCCTTGTGCCAAAACCTTTCTTTTGATATCCAAAACGATGCCCCTTTGAACTTGACATTCGAGTTTGACCCATTTTAAAAATAACCTTGGTCTTAACTTTTGGTGCTAGGGCTTTCGTATTTCACAATTCGTATTTATTGTGACAAGGCCTTTCGCAAGACACAAGATGCCATTAATTTTGACCCTTTGATTTTGATCTTAAAAGGAAAAAAAAACTTGGTCATGGCCGTAAAATTTGAAGTTTGCCCTTGTCATTTTAAAATGCAAATTTGGACGTCGCGCACGATGTTGGTGTCAAAAGGTCAAAAATTACTATTGCGGCGGCATTTGCGCTATTTTCATAATTTTAAAACAATTCACCATATGAAAACTATATATCATTCGGTCGGTAATTGTATACTTAATACATTTTAACAAAAATATTGTTCAAAAAATTCCATTTATCCAATATATTAACTCGTTTATTCAGTCAATTACGTCAAAAACGCATGTAGACGGGTAACAGGAGCGTCGCACATGCAATAACAAAATGTTGATAAATTCCATAAAACAAACAATACAAGCATAAAATTTGACAGAAAAATTCAAAATATGATGTAAATGATTTAAATTCTAGCAATTGTGATGTTATTCAATCTGTATGTTCTGTACGCGTTTCTCAAAATCCAAGACAGAGGTGTAGACGCGCGTAAATCGACGAAATATGGGATACACATAAAAAGTCTTCGGTTACTAAAAAAATAATTTCATGAGCTTAATCAATTTTGTACGGAAGCGTATTAGGGCCGCAACAGTATTTTTTAAAAATTTGTTATAACAAATTATCAATTTGTTATAACACTTTAATAATTTGTTATAACAAATTAATAATTTGTTATAACAAATTAACAATTTGTTTAAACAAATTGATAATTTGTTTAAACAAATTGATAATTTGTTTAAACAAATTGATAATTTGTTATAACAAATTGATAATTTGTTATAACAAATTGACAATTTGTTATAACAAAAATTGTCATTCAATTGTCATACAGAATGTCTTTTTTGAGATGACATAAATGAGCCTTTAAGTTGTATGTCAGTGTCTAGCAGAAAATGGTGACCTTTTCATATCATTCCCTATTTTCAATTTCTTTGTTATCTTTGTTAATTTAGTTCCTAGAATGGTTCCAGTGCTGATTAGCTGACAAAGGAAGGCTGAGAACTAAATTTTACAAAAATTTCATTTTCTTAATACATGTGTTATTTTTTTTTAGAATACTATAAACAGAGAGGCAGCACTGTTTGAGTTCCGTAAAACGGACGTAGCGCCAGTGTTGGTGATTTTAGACAGAAGAGATGATGCCGTTTCGCCACTTCTTAATCAGGTCTGTATATCACCTGTTTAGAAATAGTAACAGATTACACTTATGGATGACATAGAAAAAATTCTGAATATGGAATGCATTCTTAGTTAATTGTTAACTTGCAATTCGAAATTCATTGTCTAAGAATGCTAGATCAAAGTCCTTTATTAAATCAGATGAACTTTTCTCCTAATCTTCACATTGGTTAATATTGCAAGACTTGTCTTTATAACAAATTAATAATTTGTTATAACAAATTACTAATTTGTTTAAACAAATTGATAATTTGTTTAAACAAATTGATAATTTGTTGAAACAAATTGATAATTTGTTATAACAAATAAATAATTTGTTTAAACAATTTGATAATTTGTTATAACAAATTGATAATTTGTTATAACAAATTAATAATTTGTTTGAACAAATTGAGAATTTGTTATAACAAATTAATAATTTGTTTAAACAAATTACTAATTTGATATAACAGATTACTAATTTGTTTAAACAAATTATTAATTTGTTATAACAGATTATTAATTTGATATAACAGATTATTAATTTGTTAAAACAAATTATTAATTTGATAAAACAAATTAGTAATTTGATATAACAAATTAGTAATTTGATAAAACAAATTAGTAATTTGATAAAACAAATTAGATTTGATAAAACAAATTACTATTTTTGACAAAATTTGAATTGTATACAATCTACGAAAGCCAGATCCAAAAAAAATCTTAGTATATGTCGGATTTATGAAAATAATTTGCAACTGCAACTGTCAAAGTTTTTGGCAAATAATAAGGCTTTAGTGGGACTATTGAGAGCTTTTCCAGCAGGCTCTTTTTTAGCTCTTCTGAGCCAAAGGCTCAAAGAGCTAATGCTATGGCCATTTGTGCGGTGTGCGTCGTGCGGTGTGCGGTGTGCGTTAACTTTTTAGAATATGGGCCATAACTCAAGAACCCCTTGGCCAATCATTGTCAAATTTGTTACAGGGTATCCTTGGCCCAAGGGCTACCATTTATACTAAAACTAGGGTTGGGACCCTAAAACAAGGGGAGATAATCAGGAAAATAGAACCAAAAGTACTGGTTGCTAAAAAATTCTTCTTCTCCAGAACCACCAGGCAGATTTTCACCAAACTTACATACAAGGTCCAGAATATGTTGAAGATTAAAAATTGTTCAAGGCATGACCCTGGGGCAAAGGGCGTGGTCTCAAGGTCACTTCAAAGTTAACCAAAATTTACACTTAATAAAAACGTTGATATTTTGCTTACTATAAAGACTAGGATCATCAAATCTTGTAAGTTGATGCATCTTAGGACTTCACATCATGTTAACACAAAAGTAGGTCACGGTGACCTACTTTTTAAATTTTACGGGCTTTTGTTTTCAAATTGATTTGGAGGCATATTTTGGACACTTTAAGGCCTATGATCATCAAACTTTGTCAGTTGATGCATCTTGGGTCCTTAAACAAGGTCAACTTAAAAGTAGGTCACCTTGACCTACTTTTTGAATTTTATGGCCCATCTTTTCTAAAACATTTAATCCCATTGTTTCAGATACTGAAAGGTTTAGATTCACCAAATCTTGTAAGTTGATGCATCTTGGGGCCTTAAAATATATTTATGAAAAAGTAGGTCACTGTGACCTACGTTTTGAATTTTGCAGGCATTTGTTTTCACATTGTTTAAAAAGCATATATTGAATACTTTCAGACCTATGATCATCAAACTTTGTCAGTTGATGCATCTTGGGTCTTCGGAAAATGTTGACCAAAAAGTAGGTCACGGTGACCTACTTTTGACATTTTATGGCTATATTTAAGTATCTTAGGTACTTTTTGGCTTATAATCATCAAACTTTGTCAGTTGATACAACTTGGGTTTTCGGAGAATGTCGACCAAAAAATAGGTCACTGTGACCTAGTTTTGACATTTTATGGCTATATTTCAGTATCTTAGGTACTTTTTGGCTTAGAATCATCAAACTTTGTCAGTTGATGCAACTTGGGTTTTCGGAACATGTCAACCAAAAAGTAGGTCACTGTGACCTAGTTTTGAATTTTATGGCTATATTTACTTATCCTGGGTACTTATTGGCCTAGAATTGTCAAACATTGTCAGTTGAGGCATCTTTGGTTTTCGGAGAATGTCGACCAAAAAGTAGGTCACAATGACCTACTTTTGATTATCTCAGGTATTTATTGGTTTAGAATCATGAAACATTGTCAGTTGATGCATCTTGGGCCCTCTGAAAATTTGACCAAAAAGTAGGTCATGGTGACCTACTTTTGACATTTTAAGGCTATATTTAAGTATCTTAGGTACTTTTTGGCTTAGAATTATCATAACTTTGTCATTTGATGCAACTTGGTTTTTCGGAGAATGTCTACTAAAAGAGTAGGTCACTGTGACCTAGTTTTGACATTTTATGGTTATATCTTAGGTACTTTTTTGCTTAGAATTATCAAACATTGTCTGTTGAGGCATCTTGGGTTTTCGGAGAATGTCGACCAAAAAGTAGGTCACAGTGACCTACTTTTAATTATCTCAGATACTTATTGGCCTAGAATCATCAAACATTGTCAGCTGATGCATCTTGGGTTCTGGGAAAATGTCGACCAAAAAGTAAGTCACGGTGACCAATTTTTGACATTTTATGGCTTTATTTAAGTATCTCTGGTACTTATTGGCATGGAATCATCAAACTCTGATAGTTGATGCATCTTTGGTCCTCGGAGAATGTCAATCATAAGAAGGTCACAGTGACCTACTTTTAATATATGAGGTACTTATTGGCTTAGAACCAT